AGACTGGACAGGAGAGCTCACTGCATCTCATGCTGCATCAGGTGCCCACGGAGCCATTTCCCTATGCCACCCCAGCATGCCAGCACATGAGCTCCCCTCTGTGTGTGCACAGCCCCTATAACCAGTTTGCAGGCTGTAAGCTCCCACAGTCACACTGGGCACCCTCCTGCACAAAGCACGTGCTGGACCTGCTGGCTGCCACTGCCCGCTCTCCAGCCCATCATCACTGGGCATCGCATGGACCATCCAGGGAGGAGGCAAGACTGCAGCCTGCAGGGGTCCCTGCACCTCCTGAGGGGCTGGATCCTCCCCAGGGAGTGTGGGAGGATGTTCCTTACCTGCAGAGCCACGTGCAGATGCCAGGATCCCTGGTCAGGCTACTGGTTCGGAGCGGGCAGGGTCCCTGTTGTGGCAGGGAGAAGCTGGCACAGGGATGGCACGGCTCTCCAACCAGAGAGCTGCAGGTCTGGGATGCTCCACAGATTCTCACTGGCACAGTGCACACACCTGGCAGCAGCGACTCTCCTGGAACATTGGGAAAGCTGGATTACAAAAGGAGAAGAGGGTAATTAGCAGCTTGGCAAGTCCTGCACACCCACCACTTTCAGCATGAGTCTGCAGGAGGCCAGAAGCCTCTCCTGCCAGCCATGCTGACCACAGCCCATGGACTCCCTGACCCCAGCCTGCTCCCTGCACCAGCTTTCACCCAGCTGGAGTGAGCAGCTCCTGTGCCCTAAACCTAAACACCCACCCTGCCTAAAAAGCAAGTCACTCTTCATCCCAGAGCACAGGATGCTCTGGATACTCCTGGATGCATAGCCCAGCTTTGCAACTGGGACATGCACAGCTCCATGAGCAGCCTCAGCACCTGCCTACAGGCACAGCACTTCCCCAAAATGGGGCCCAGGGGCTGCAAAAGCCCCTCTCCCCAACCACCCCTGCCAGCTCCATCTTGGGCAACATCAACAGGCTCATCCCACCCATGGCAGCTGCTCTGCAAAGGGACAGCAATTCGCAAGAGAAGGGATGGCCACTCCTGAGCTTGCACCACTGTCCCCACTTGCTGACCCAAGCTGCTCAGCAGCCTTCCCAGCACATCCACATGGACAGCAGGCCTCTGTACATCACCACAAACAGCCCAGGAGCATCCCTGTGGTGTTAGAACAGGCAGTTGGCATTGCTGCTGTACCGCAACAGGGACAAACGCCGGGGAGAAAGCAGGTTTGACCCAGAGGGCAGATGAGGAGGGGTCATGCTCAGACCTCTGCCCTGCCCAGCTTGCCAGGGCACCCACTCTTACAGTCACCAGACAGGGGGTTGGCACCACACCCCCACCAAGGACCAAACACTCCATCCAGCCTGCCCAGGAGAGCAGCTGCTCCTGCACAGCCAGATGCTGCCAGTGCTGCCCTCAAGCCTGCACAGTGGCTTGTAACCCAGCGGTACCCTGCCACCAGCATCTGCTCGCTTTCCTTTTAACCTCACCCCAGCACTGCCAGGAGTGTCTGCCAGCCCTGACCTGGGCTAGGCAGGGACACGCAGACCAAGTGACCCAAGAGACAGGAGCATAGAACGGCCCAGTAACCTCCTGTGTAAACTCTTCTCCTTTCCTCCTCCACCTACTAAAACCTCTGTTTAAAAACAATCCAGTGCAACGCGGAAGAGACAGACAAAGAGCGGGATGGCTGTGGTTCCTCTTATCATCAGGAGATGAGCAGGAAAAATCCTGCTCTGTCAGTCAGTTCACTCCTGATAAGCTCTGTGGTGACAGCAGCTCCGCAGGTGAGTCACCCTCCAGTGGCAGGAGCTCAGGAGATCGTTGCGGGTGATGGTGCTGCTGATAGACTGGTGTTATATTACAATACAAATCATAATTCCTGTTTCACAACTCCTGTTGTGGGTTTTAAGGAGTGCTTGGGCGGTCCTGCCCCAGTGTTAGTACAGCAGCAGCACGGGCGCAGGGTGGTGGGACCATCGCCGGCCCTGGCTCCCTGGGCATTGGGGCACCCACAGTCTCCCCACGTTCCAGACTGGAGGATATTTGCTGGGTTTCTCAGGCAGAAGATCACATCAGAGCTGGATGAACATGGTGAGTTACCAACAGATTCACCCCCTCCCTGCACATCACCCCCTCACCCCAGCAGCGGGCACCCACCGCAGCCAGCTGCTCTCACAGCCCAGGTGGACCTGGAGGGATTTAGTGGTGATGAGGCAGCCGAGGCTCAAAAAAGCTGCTGCTGCTCCCCAGCCCCCCCGGGAGGGAGTGATTTTACTCCCCTCTCAACACCCCGCTGTGGCTCTTGGACACGGCACTCAGCTATCCCCACAAGCTCTGGCTCTCCACACTTCTCTGTGGCTTGCCTTGTCCCCCTCCCAGGGAAGCAGACAAGTAAGGCAGTGTGTCTCACAAGTCTGCTCGCCCGCAGAAACGTGCCTTTCTGGAGTGTCTTATCCCCCCCCACCCTGAGAAGGGGCTGGTTCTTATGCAATGCCTGGCCAAGAGCCCAGTGTCCCCAGTCCCCAGCGCAGCTCCCACTGCGGGACTGCCAGTCTGCTCAGCACAGGGGACACGCTCAGCTCAGCTTTCTGTGGTGCCTTTTGCAAGCAAAGCCATGGGCACCAAACCCCAGCCTGGCATGCAGTCCCTCCCTAGGAGGAAAAAGCTGCCTTAGCAGAGGGCACCCACATACAGCCCAGCTCGCTGGGCACCACAAAATCCTCCACCAGTGACACACCAGGACATCATCCCCTCCAGAGCAGAGACATCTCCCCCCTGCACAGGGAGAACAGCCACATCTACCTATGGGTTAGATCCCCTGCAGCCAAGGGGTCAGCCCCATATCCAAGCACCCTGCACCCTCTGCAGCTGGGGTTCCCATGGGAATGTCCCACTGTTCCTCATTCAGGAGGGTGCAGAAGCTCATCAGGAGTCCATGGCTCATGGGCTGGCATTTGCACAGCTGGAGTGCAAACCAGCTAATAGCAGCATTAACATGCTTCCAGAGAACGTGGCAAAGAAGCTCAATTAGTTACGGTAGCCTTGAGTTCTCCAGGAAATCATGTGCTTCAGCTTCACCAAGGATCTGGCAGAGCTCTTGCCTTTGCTTTGAATTTAACCAGTGCAGCTCTTGGCTGTAGCTGTGGTTGTGGTTTTGAGAGCAAGTGGGCAGTCATGGAGAGGCAGCTCCAAGCTGTGAACATTTGAAATGGAGCAGGTTCATCAACTGAAGAAAATGCAAAAAAGAAAAACCCAAAATCAGCAATGGGCAACACCTTCTCTAGGTGGGAAGGTGGCCAACACCCCAGCATCATCCCTCCTGCCTGCAGCTGCACCAGACCTTCACATGGCTCTCTGAAAGGAGCTCGATACCAGACAACGTGATGGGCAGGAGCAGGGGCAGGTTGCAGACAGGCAGGGGCAGCTGTGCCACCACAGCCCCTCAGCACAGAGCCCTGGCCATGTCACAGAGCCTGGACCAGCCGTCGTGCCTGGTCCCTGGGACCGTTCCCGCAGGGAACCGTTAGGATCCCATTATCCAGGGCATGCCTGGCTCAGGCCCACGGTGACACAAGAGGTCAGCATGAGGAAGGACCAGCCCCACGTGCCCTCGGCTGGTTGTGCTGGAGGTCATAGGAGGTGTTTGGGAGGGAGCTGGACAGCATTACATCTCCCAGGGCTCCTGCAGGCACTGGCACTGCAGATTAGCAGCATGGGAAGGGCAGCTGAGATGGGAGAGGTCCAGGAGACAGGCTCTCCTTCCCACCCTGCCCTCCTGCTCCCAGCCAGTCCCCAACTCCCTGCCACTAGGATCAGGATCTCCATGCCCTCTGGGTGCTGCTCTGGAGCTGAGGTACACAGGTAGACCTCGCAGGACCCAAAAAGACCTGAGGGGCTATGCAGAGCCCATCCAGGGGCCAGGCACTTGCCATGACTTGCCCATACTCAGCATTGGTGCCAGACGAGCCAGGCAGTTCTGAGAAAGTCCCCCAGCATTTCCTCAAAAGAGCCAGCTGGCTGCATGCTGGGGCACAGCCACATGCCCACAGCCCTGCCAGCACCAGGCAGGATCCGGTCCTCCCCTGCACAGGTCACTTCTTGTTCCCACGGAGTGGGGAGGTGAAGAGGATGCAACATCTCCCGACTAAGCTAGCAGCACAGTAAATCCAAACATCTTGGTGTGTATTAACCCACAAATGATCGCTTGGCACTTGCCTTTAAATCCTGCTGGTAGAGTCTTTGCACACGGCTGAACGTGCCCAAACACAGGGACCCAGAGGGACGGCTCCACCACTCCCTCCTGCCAGCCCAGGCTGGAGCACAGCCCCTTTGCAGCCTTGCCACATCTCTCACCACACCACTGTTCTTCAGAGTCCCAACCTTCAAGCCCTGGGCCTGCACAGGGGTCTCTGCTCTCATTGGAGACAACAAACACAGTCATCTCCAGCCCTCATTGCCATCATCCAGCAGCCCAGAGAAAAGCTCAGCAGCCAAAGGAGCAAAGGCTCCTAAACCCCAAACTCCCAAATTGTGCTCCTGGATCTGTGGGTTTATTGCAATGTTTTTAATCTTCCTTACCTCTCTTTGTGCTGGGTATAGCTTCAAAAAAGCTCATCTTACCTGTGGTGGTGGAGTCCAGAAGCAACATCAAAGGAAAAGAGCTCGCTCAGGGCTGGAAGGGCGATCAAGGGAAAAGCAAGTGTGCTGCTTCCCACAGCCTCAGCAGGGCAGGAGCTTTCAAACTGCAAGCTGCCAGGAGCCTGGTCTCAGCAGTGTGGCACAAGCAGGGCAGCAGAAACATACAGCACCCACCTGAACCCCCCCAAAGGGGCTCTGACCTTTGCCTGTCACCACCTTGTCTACCGAGGGACAGGGCAGCTCCTTCAGCAATGGCTGGTGTGGCTCCCAGGACCCTTCCTACAGCATCTCTCACAAGAAGCTGTAACAGGAAGATAATTTTGAGGAGACCAAGTGGGATCAATGCCTTATTCCTCACTTGCTCCAGCACTGACTGCTGCTGGGGCTGTGTTTAGCGTGTGTCCTAGCAGCAGCTCAGCCCTCCCTCCCTGCCCCAAGAGCACTTGTTCCCATGGGCCAGGCTGGTTTCTCCAGCAGCAGCTCCAGCAGCATGTCAGGGAGGACTCAGGCTGTGCCGCTCTGTTTCTGACCCCATGCTGGGCCAGATGAAGAATAAAACCCCCATAGTGACATGTCTGGGTGGCACGGCCCTGCAGGCACCTGTATTTTGCTTCAGGGTTTCTGGGCATAACAGCATGACCCTCTTTCATAACGCTTCTTAAGCTTCTGGTGCATTAAAGGCAGAAACTTTACATTAATAGTCAATTACTGGAACTCCACAGCTGATGCCCATGGGAACAACACAGCCTGTGATCCTGGGTGACAGCAGAGCCAAGTATTGTCACACCAGGACACGCCACCCCCTGCTGCCACCTCCAATCCCAGCAGCTCTACAGCAACCTCAGCTGCAGGTTGGGGCAGTTTCCCAGCTAATCATCCTGATGGGACTCCAGCAAACCAAAGAGAGAGCAGCCTCTGCCCCTGCCCAGGCTTAGCTGACCCTTTGCGTTCTCCAGGCTGCCCTTTCCAGGGCAGCTGGTCATGAGAGCTGTACATTTGGCATGGGAATCACCACAGGGCCACGTACGCACACTGCTACAGATGCTGCCCACCTGCCAACTGCGTTTTGGCTCAGGTTCCAGCTCGGTAACTGGTTTTCCCCTCTGGTTTGCAGGATCTAGCCTCCGAGCGGCTGAACGGCAGAGGTAATGCCCACGGGAGCTGCGGGCACAGGTGCTGCCGGGCTGGTGCTGGCGACACAGGACCACGCTCCTCTGTGTTGCAGGTCCCAGCACAAGACACAAAGCCTCCACAGGATTGGAGTCCTTCAAGCGGATCGGCATCCCCGTCCTGGCAGGAGTGCTCAGCCTCGCCTTCCTGGTTACGGTTGGGTTCCTGGGTACGGCTCCTGCTCTCCTCTCCCCTCTCCTTTGCACAGCCACAGCTTGGCAAACGCAGCTCTGGAGCCAGGGCTCAGCTGGGACCGGCTCTGCCACATCCCTGCTGAGCCCCCCAAGACAAGGCAAGGCAAGCCCTGAGCCTGCCCAGCAGCACCGCTCAGCGCTGAGCCCCCCTTCCCTCTAGTCAAGGTGTACCTGGACTACCACTACTTCTTCTGCAAACAGCCCCTGAAGCTGGTGCCACTGCAGCAGGTGTGTGATGGGCAGATGGACTGTCCGCAGGGCGAGGACGAGGACAACTGTCCCCAGTGGGTCCCTGAGGGGCCAATGGCTGGTGGTGAGTCCAGGATAGCCTGCTAGAGCTCTGGAAAGGCTGGGCTGTTGTGACAAGCATCTGCCTGCTGAAGTGACCCATGACTTTGTGTCTGTCTCCAGCCCGTGTTTCCAAAGACAGATCCATCCTGCAGGTGCTGAACAGGAACACCAAAGCCTGGTCCTGCGTCTGCTACGACCACTTCAACCTGGCGCTGGCAAAAGCAGCCTGCGAGCAAATGGGCTACAGGAGGTACATGGCTGCTTTCCCCACGTCTCTCACCTGCCTTACCTGTCCCTCTCCTTTTGAGTGGGCCTCTTTCAGAGCACTCAGAGGTCTGTGCTAATGGTCTCAGTCCATCCCCACCATGCAGAACACTCTGCATCAGCTTCCCATGTAAGCTTAGTACTGTGCCCAGTGTCCCCCACTCTGTCCCCAGGCACCCTGCCCTGCTCCTACCCCTCACCCCACAACTCATAGTCACCCATGCACACACTTACCTCTCCAGAGCAGCTTGTGCAGAGCCCAACCAAGCTTCTCACTGCAATGGAGCTCTCCTGGGGAAGGACACAGGCTGCCACACGCCCCTTTTAAAGCCCCAGGAGAGCAGCAGGTGGTGCTGGGCTGGGCTGGGGGTGTGGATGATGCACAGCTGTGGGCAGGGCTGAGTCCTTGCAGCTGGGATGAAGCTCCATGTCATCCACCTGTGCCCACCTCGTGCGATGCCCTGGGCTAGCACCAAGTTTGTAGTGCTGTGTTCAACCAAAGCTGGTCAAAGCTGAGATGTGGGGAAACAGCTTGCTAGCCCTGCGTGGTTGGTATCAGCCCTGGGTTAAGGCAGAGTTTGAGTTATTTAGCTCCTGCTTTCTCCTGGTCTCACCAGCTCTTTGCTGGGGCCATTGGCAAACAGTTAGGGAGAACATGTAAAGTCTTACAACTGGGTCGTACCTTCTTTGAGCTCAGTTTGAACCAAAACCAGCAAGTTTCCAGGCTCCCAAAGGTGCTGAGGCACCAGTGCCTGCCCTTTCCCAGCATCTGTGCCCAGTTGGAAGCGTTCTCTGGGGCTGTGCACCCCAGGGTGGCCTTCCTGAGCTGTGTCCCCCGTGTCTTTCAGCACCCCCATTTTCTGGGGAGTGGAGGTGGGCGCAGGGCAGCCCCTTCCTCCCCGCGAAGTCGTGCTGTACAACGGCAGCCTCCTGGTGCCCGAGCCAGGCGGTGGGGCTGGGCGAGGTGGGCACCGAGTCCCTCGTCCTGCACAGGAGCCCAAGCCTCTCCTCCACCAAATCCAGCCCTTTTCCTCCCTCTTCCAGGAAATGCCTCTCTGGATCTGTTGTTTCGCTCCTTTGTTCCAGTAAGTATCGTGAGGCTCTTCACACCTTGCAGGCACGCAGTGCCACTCCAGCTTCTTGCTCCTGGCACAGCCCCCTGTGCTGTGCTGCAGCTGTGAGAGCTCAGCTCTGGCCCAAGCCCTGGCCCTTTCCCATTCCATTCCTGCACTCTTTGCATGAGAAACATCGGGTTTCATTACTGCCAACTGTCTTGTGAAGCCAGTGTAAACCTCCCAGGAATGGAACACCTCAGGGAGGCTGCACCAGCTGCCTGGATGGGTTCACTTCTGCTGAGGAATCATCCTGATTAAACTAACCACCAGCGGGGCTGGAGAAGGCAAGGGATGGATGAAGCCATTTCAGCAAGCCTGGGGACAATGTGTAAACAGGGGACAAAAGGGGGTGTGCCACAAAGGTGTGATGGGTGGTGACAGGGAGCCTCTGTCCCCGCTGGCCCCGAGGATGGAGGAGGGCAGAGCAGGTGCTCTTTCTCTCCCGCTGCCGCAGCTAACGCATTGTTTGTCACCCGGCAGAAGAGTGTGGGGAGAGCACAAGGACTCCGCGCGTGCTGGGGGGCAGCCCGGCCACCATCGAGGCATGGCCCTGGCAGGTCAGCCTGCAGTACAGGAAGGAGCACATCTGTGGCGGCAGCATCATCGACCCGGGCTGGGTCCTGACCGCAGCCCACTGCTTCAAGTGAGTTGGTGACCGCCGCGCCGCAGCCCGCACCGAGCTGCCAGGGCTGGGTTGGCTCCTCGAGGCCAGGCTGAGTGCCTCTGGGTTTCAGCCACATGTTGTTTCAACGTCCCATAATTAACACCTGGGCGCAGGGCTTTGTGCCCCGTGGTCCAATGCTTTGGTGCCTGTGCCTGCAGCAGAGGGACAGAGGGGCGGGAGCGGAGCAGTAACAGACGTGTCTGTGCACAGGAACAACCCCATCGTCCGCAGCTGGCGCGTGAAAGCCGGCTCCAGCCTCCTCTCGAGCAGCTCCACCCTCGCTGTGGAGAAGGTTTTCCTGGCTGAGGTGACACCCGCGTCCCCCAAGGACAATGACATTGCCCTGGTGAAGCTGCAGGCTCCCCTGCGTGTCTCAGGTGAGATGTGGCACATGCCTCCTTGGAGAAAGAGCCAGCAAAGCCCAAGCCGGGCACCAAGCAGTGGTGCCGAGAGCCATGTGCCAGCGGTGCCTTTCCCAGAGCTGGGCAGGGGCACCTTCCCCATGAGCCTCCCCAGCCACCTCCAGCATCTCACCTCGCCCTTCCAGACAGCAGCAAGCCCATCTGCCTGCCCTATTTTGATGAGGAGCTGGTGCCAGGCACATCTCTGTGGGTGACAGGCTGGGGCTACACAGAGGAGCATGGTGAGTGGGACAGCATGGGGACAAGCCAAGCGCAGAGCCCCCCAGCACTTGCAGGTGGGCTCCCTGATGGCCCAGGGCTACTGAGGGGCTCGTCTGAGTGGTCACATTTTGTGCAGGCAAACTGTCGGAGACCTTGCAGCAGGCAGAGGTGAAACTCATCGACAAGGAGAGCTGCAACCTAGCCGCCTACCACGGGGAGGTCACCGAGAAGATGCTGTGTGCCGGCCTGCCGCAGGGCGGGGTGGACACCTGCCAGGTGGGGGGTGCCTGGTCCAGAAAGAGGGGGTGGCTGGGTCTGCACCCATCAATGAAATGGCACAGCTCGAGGAAGAGCTGAGAGCTCTCATGTCCTGATGAGATGCTGTGAGCACTGGCACCCACCATGCTGGGGGCCGAGGGGCTCCTCTGTCTCCGCTCAGACAGTCTGTCCTTCGCAGGGGGACAGCGGCGGGGCCCCCCTCTTCACCGGCCGGCAACGCTTTTTTTTCGTCAGCTGGGGCCAGGGCTGTGGGACCCCCAGCACACCCGGTGTCTACACCAGCGTCCGTGCCTACCTCAACTGGATCTACACCATCCGCAGGGTCAGTGCCGTACTGCCCACCCCGCACGGCTGCTCTGTCACAGTTTTGGGGGTGGTGAGGACGGGTCAGGGTCCCCTCAGCAGCTCTGCACAGAGGGGAACTGCACTGGCAGAGCGGGGTGCAGGGTGGCCTGCCAGCCCCCTCCAGCTCCCAGCTCTGCGGCAGAGCTGAGCCCCCTCCTTAAGGACACCACTCTGCTTTCCTCCTGCTGCCCTTCAAAGCAGTTTCTTCTCTCCTTCTCTCTCCTTCCAGTCGGAGCTCTGAGACCTGCTGGGACAGGTCCCTCCGCTCTCCCCCAGCCTCCCTCCCGTCCCCACA